GAGTCTCATGTCCCTATGCTGTTACTGACGGCAGATAGGCCGGCTGAACTGCGGGATACAGGGTGTGTTTGGGAGGGGAATTTCATGGCGCGTGACGGTGTTGTTATTCAGGAGTAATCAGACGATGAACCAGACGGATATCTTCAAGCCTTACGCAGTGTGGACCCGTGATGTGGCCCCACCATGCGAGTCGGCGCCGGTGCGGTATCTCCTTAGTGACACTGACTATGCTGTTGCCCAATGCTTGGGCCAACAGGGCGTGGTAGGAAGGCCGATCCTTCATCCATCGTAGTCATCATATGTTATGTTCAGGTGCACCTGAATATGCAGTTCCGAGAGAATCTAGCGCCTGAGGGGGGACCGGTAGGTGGCCTGCTGTGGTTTGCACGGTGATGTCGAGCATAGGTTCGAGGAGGACAATATGAGGAAATGAGTGCCTTCCATGTTCCGGAAGACTCCCGATTTACACGTTGGCAAATGCGGTCTACGGAGCCTCTCACACGGACTGCTCGGCCACCTAGACGGAGCATTGATGAAGATAGAGTGAAGGAGCTCATATGTGGGGTTATGCCCGAGCTGAGTGGTGATACGAGGTTGAGCGGTCAGGTTCGAGAGCAGTAGTTGTGGTTGTGGGTGCACTGTCATCTCCTATGGAGGCTGTAGCTGTGGACACCATAGCCGAGCAGCTGGACTGCCTTGTCTTAGCCGATGTCTTTAGTGGTAGTGAGGAGGACAGGGCTCAATCGGACTGTTCACGGTGGTGTGGTATTAACGCCAATTTAAAAAATCAATATCCCCTGGCTCCAGCTTGTTGTTGAACTGTCTCCTTATCCTCTCTCAAACCTAAGCTGGGTTATCGCGCGAGTCTCGGGTCGTGATGTCCCTTGCTGTACTATAGGTTGTCGTAGAGAGTGCCTGCCAAGTCTGTGTCTGTCCTCACAAGCTGTGGTGGATATGCTGGAGCTCAGTCGTCCAACGATCATCCGTATGGGAGGAGCATTGATTTCGAAACAAGTCCAGGGTTGGATGTCATCTAAGATGGGACCAGTAGGTCTATACTGCTCCTGCGCCTGCTGGTAGGACCATAGTGATCAGGTTAAAGAGCATATTAGAGTAACGGATGTACCCACGAGGAGACATGATGTTGACTGGAACAGTGAGTGGCGTCTGGGTCTATCGCCATCGGTGCTTCTTGAAGTGTGGGAGGTGTGGTATGATCTGATGTTTCTCTCTTCGACATGATATTTCCATGTATATCCTTCGTTATTGTTGGTTGTACTAGGTACCATTGTAGTAGATGCTACTTGCGCAGAGTTTGCTAGGATGATCGATGCCCTGAACGTCACTACAGAAGTACGTGCCTCATTGACTGTATCGTTTTATCATCGCTATAGGCTCTCACGTCCAATCGTCTCCTGAGAGATCGAGTACATGCTATCAGCGGCCGAATTGAGGAGAGGCTACATGCTGAGCTTGGGGATGAATGTAGGTGTCGCCTGAGGAGCGTTATGTGTGTGTGAGAATTATTCGATCGGGTGGGGTCTGAGGTTCGTGAATAACTCTGACTATGCTGTGCCCAGTCGACGTAGTAGTAGTAGTAGTAGTAGTAGTAGTAGTAGTAGTAGTAGCTGTGTAGGTACGGAACCAAATATCAGTCGAGCATTGGCTACCTTCGCATCGGCCCAGAAGGAATGTGTAGTCATAAGTAGCAGTATGAGCTGCCGTAACTTTGATACCTTCGTAAGTACCAACGTGGTATCGAGAGGTAATCTAGACGTTGTTATTGGTCAGTGCCCTCTAAGGACCAATATACCCCGATCTTCCTGCAGTAGGGGAGTGAGTGGTATTGACGGAACTATCAGTAAGATTGGCAGTTTCGTTTTCATAGGAGCCATATTTGTGTCCTTCAGGCACGACCATAGGATACGCTGTAGGGTGTGGCCTCTCGACAAATCTTCTAATTGGAGATGTTGCGGCCATTCACGACCTCAATTCGGTTGTCCAGTAGGCGTCTGACGAACTGTTTCAGCTGGGGTGAAGCCTTGATCTCAGATTGGCCAACTACTTGAATGGTGGGGGTATGGTCGGGGAGGTCAGAGTACCCCCGGTGAAGATCGTGGTGTGCAATAACAATGGTGGTAGCATGTTCAAGTTCGTGCCTATCGGGAAGTACTCTGAGGAGGTGGCTTATGACAAGAATTTCCGCACCCCCATCGAAGTGGCTTTCGCTGGTGCGGCTGAGATGATGGGCCTGAAGGGAAGCACCAAGGTGGAGGGCCTGTCTAAGATGGTTGAATGTCTTGGCCATAGTGGGCTGATCGAGATCGTGAGTATACGATTAGGTCGACTGCTTTTCAACGGTGATGTCAGGTACCCAAGACTAGTCAAGATGAGGACGTGGCACTCCGTCGGAGGGTTACAGGAATGGTGGGAGAGGTTGTTGAAGATGCACTTCGGTTGCATCCTGGGGTCAAATTGAGGCAAGTTAAGGCATGTGTGTTGGTCCTGATGGTTCCTGTCAGTTTTATTCGAGGTGGTACTCCGGGTAAGGCCCCACTGGTCCTCTTACACGGCTGGATGGGCAGCGCCAAGTCGTACTCAGACTGGCTGGCCTGTGATGAGCTCAGTAGCAAATACGATATTGTTGCGATAAGCCTGCCGGGTCATGGCGGTTCGCTTCCCTCGAAAGACAGCACTTTGTTCGACTACGGTATGTCAGCGACGATTGCCAACCTTCGTGGGCTGGTGAAGGATCTTTTCAACGGCAAGCCAGTGACCGTCTGCGGCTATTCTTTGGGAGGCCGTGTGGCTCTGGAATGGGCCCGTCGTGCCCCCGGGGGCATCACTCGTCTGGTCATCTTTGCGGCTAGCACTGCAGTTGGGGGCCCCGCAGTGAGAGAGAGGCGTTGGAGGAGTGACTGTGCGTGGGCGGAGAAGTTGGAATCCCCCACATTGGACCTTGGTCTCTTCCTCACCAAGTGGTATGGGTCTGGCTCAGTATTCGCTGATTTGCCGACGCGAAGACCGGAGGAATTCTTCGGTCAATGGTTGCCATCACGAGTGGGCAGCGGTAACCCTGCGGGTTGGGCAAAGTCTATGTTGGCCATGAGCCAGGCCTGGGGCGTTGACTGTTCGAGTGTGCCGGTTGATCGCTTCATTGCTGGGGCTCTCGATACTAAGTATTCGAGTATGAAGGTCTCACTGGCGAGGGAGAGTAGTGATCGAGTTATTCTGCCAGATGTTGGTCATAGTCTACTCTGGGAAGTTGACTGTCAGACACTTATCCATGCTGCTATGCTGTGACTTTTCTACTTTAGTACTGTACGTCGAACTGATCTCGATTGACGTTCCTTTTTCGTAGTATGTCCTAGCGATTATCGGAACGTGTGTATTTCTCGCACGATGAGTGTAAAGCAAAAGCGTTGTTTGTGCCTACGGTGGTGTGTTCGTAACTATTACGCGACTGCTGGACGACAATTTCTGATTTGCTTAACAGTGCGATTGTTGGGTTGTCACGATAAGGAGCATATCTTTTTCTGGCTACAAAGGAATGCGAGAGACTTCCCTGGGGTTCGTAGGCCTCCCCAAGCTCAGTCTTCTACGCTCTCCCAATCGGAACCGATTCTTCCACAACGATTACTGTTCAATGCACGTTATGCATCGATGATAGTAGCGAAGCCGCACTGTCCGTCTAGAGCTCTGAATTCACTTTTTTCGATTTCAAATTGATGTTCGTGAGCGCGAATCAGTCACTCACTGATTCGCAGTTATTTGTATGGAACGAGGAGTATCCCAGGGTGTACAAACGGGTACAAAGGATAATACAGGGGCGTCAGGAATGTAGGAAGGTCTAGGTTGTTTCGTCCGGTTGTAAATAACTAACGGATAACAAACCATCAACCGGGCGATAGGAATCGGAAATCTCACTGATATTGAAATTGGCTACTCTTCCGAAATGGTTCAGGCGACAACTAGCCGAGCTGTCAGAATATGTGAGCGGAATTCGAATTGCGCAGGTTTAGCCGTTGGTGCGCACCGCTCCCTCATGTGCTTGCCTCCAGCGTCTTTTGCGAACTAGTTAGAGGTTACCATAGAATGTCCGATTTTGTTGGTAAAGAAAGCTGAACATAGATCAAAGGAGTGAGATTGAGATATACCTCTATCTCACTTTACAACTTAGAGGTAAAGGTGTACCCGATGCAGACATGTCTGCTCCGTAGGCAGACATTCTATCCAGCTGAACTAATCGGGCGATGAAGCTAGTTGCTTTGGTTGATGTTCAACTTGAGTACTCTTCCGAAATAGTTCAGGTGATTATTGTTCTAGCCGTCGGGATGAATGAGTGGAATTCGAGTGGCTCAGGTACAGCCGTTGGTGCGCAAGACTGTTTCATGTGCTTGCCTTCAGCATCTTGTGTAAACTAGTTGGAGCTTCACATCGAAGTCCCGATTTTGGTGATAGCAAACGCAGGGTCGCATGAGTAAAACCTGAGCGGACGGAGGGAGTGTCCCCTAGCACGCAATTACGAAGCGTGCGTCCCCGCACGCAGACGATAGAAACTCATCCCCGTAAGATACGTGCGCGTGCGTGCAAAGGGTTGTCCGTGAAAACAGTGAATCCTGAAAATGATAAACCGGAAAAAATTACCCTCGAACCCTCAAAACAGTGAAGGAACGAGCGCGCGCCCGTGGCGCGCCAACAAAATTCAACTGAAGGTCCTCTTACGACTTTTGTGTTGTATCGAGCGATTGGTCTAGCGGTTAGGCGGTAGTGCTAAATATCGAATATTCAAAGTTCAAATCTGAAGTTCATCAAGGTAACTTTATAACTGACTGTAATCCAACACCAACCAAAGGTTTGTAATCAATTAACATGGCGAGCGACATATACATGCTCTGCTACATAATTGGTGTTGGATTACACTCAGTTAGACTGAGATAGTTTTTGCTGAGATGCGATTGAGGTACGCTCGGGCCAGTAAGCCTGCCTAACTTAGCTCGTGCGCTTCCTTAGCAGTTACTCCGGGTCATCCAGGAGTTCAGTATAGAAGTTGTATTCGTTCATGTTCAACAGGAACAGACATTAGGACTTGCTGTCTGAGGCAGCCTGCCTACTACCAGAATTGTTCAACAACAAGGTTCCCACACTTCTTCTACAGTCGCTACTATGGACTCAAACGTTTTGCTTATGGGAATCGCGTATTTCAGCTAGTTGCTAACGGATTGAAAACTCAATCCCTCGCAATGAAACAGTGGAACGGAAGACAAAATAGCTGATCAAAACAAGACTAGAGACGACACGGATTTCCGAATCCCTACAGCGTCCGTCGCGGATGCTCGCGGGAAAGGCGATATCCTGTCATTAATAATGCAATCGTACGCATGCTCTCGCATCTGAGACTCATCGTAAGTGATATCGCTAAAATGAGGGGTTTGTAGGACGAATCGTCCTGGACGATGTCTACAAAACGGGCCAAGACATGAAGCGTGCACAGGTTAGACAGTGGGTTTTGCTGCTGAAGGCCGAGGAAGCTATTACTAGGCCCTCCATGTTCCTCGTACTTTCAAAAAGTCGCTTCAAGACACGCAACGAAGAACTAGGCGTGAAAAAAAAATGTCCCTGAGCTTCAGGGATTGATAACACAAGTAGAACCAGCTTATGGGAAGCTTAACTTATAGAGATTATCAAGTGAAGGGGGTAGAATAGCTAGGCTAGACGCCAGCTACTATTGTCTCCACTATCACATAATTGTGTCGGCGGAGCGAAGTGGAAGGATGAGTATCATCACACTCCCCGGGGCCTAAACACAATCAACGATCACTTACAAGGTAAAATAAAACCACATCCATATATATCTTTTAGTGCTTTACGCACAGTTAATGATGGATGGCGAACAAAATCACGAGCATTGGCAACTTCCTCGTCATTGACGAGTCGTCAAACACATACCATAACATCTGGGGTGATATCATAACAGTAACAAGGTCATCACCGGTATTGATAACCGCTGAGAATTGACATTCGGCAACTTCTTCAATAACTCCCAAAATGTGAGTAAGAGAAGATCCCACCTCATCATTGGACAGACCAGACACTATCAGCACTCCATGACCGACCATGGATTTACTTAGAATAGTCGAAGGTTTCGGCAATGCTCCAACCCGAGATACAGACCGATCCCCTTGTTCATTGTCTCCTGCAACTTGAAGCATAGTCCAATCACACGGTGCCTCACATGACGAATGTAAATCTTGACAACATACATCGTCAACTGCCGCATACTTTTCACAATCCTCCTTAGTTGATATTAAAGTTGAATACTCTTCCGAAATGGTTTAGGCGGTAATTGGTCAATCCGTCAGGATACGTGAGCGGAACTCGGATTTCTCAGGTACAGCCGTTGGTGCGCACCACTATCTCATGTGCTTGCCTTCAGCGTCTTGTGCAAACTAGGTGGAGCTTCACATCGGATACCCGATTTCGTTGACGTAGGATGGATAGAGAAAGTGAGGTTAATGTATACCCGATGCAGGATTTGAACCTACGACAGTCTGCTTCGTAGGCAGACATTCTATCCAGCTAAACTAATCGGGCGATGAAGCTAGTCACTTTGATTGATATTAAAGCTGAATACTCTTCCAAAATGGTTTAGGCTGTAATTGGTCAATCCGTCAGGATACGTGAGCGGAATTCGGATTGCTCAGGTACAGCCGTTAGTGCGCACCACTATCTCATGTGCTTGCCTTCAGCATCTTGTGTAAACTAGTTGGAACTTCACATCGAGTGGCCGATTCAGGATGCGTGAGCGGAATTCAGATTGCTCAGGTACAGCCGTTGGTGCGCACCACTATCTCACATGCTTGCCTTCAGCGTCTTGTGCAAAGTAGGTGGAGCTTCACATCGAATGCCCGATTTCGTTGACGTACGATGGATGGAGGAAGTGAGATTAATTCATACCCGATGCAGGATTCGAATCTACGACCATCTGCTCCGTGGGCAGACATTCTATCCAGCTGAACTAATCGGGCGATGAAGCTAGCAACTTTGATTGATATTCAAGTTGAATACTCTCCCGAAATGGTTTAGGCGGTAATTGGTCAATCCGTCAGGATACATGAGCGGAATTCGGATTGCTCAGGCACAGCCGTTGGTGCGCACCACTATCTCATGTGCTTGCCTTCAGCATCTTGTGTAAACTAGTTGGAGCTTCACATCGAGTGGCTGATTCAGGATGCGTGAGCGGAATTCGGATTGCTCAGGTACAGCCGTTGGTGCGCACCACTATCTCATGTGCTTGCCTTCAGCATCTTGTGTAAACTAGTTGGAGCTTCACATCGAGTGGCTGATTCAGGATGCGTGAGCGGAATTTGGATTGCTCAGGTACAGCCGTTGGTGCGCACCACTATCTCACGTGCTTGCCTTCAGCGTCTTGTGCAAAGTAGGTGGAGCTTCACATCGAATGCCCGATTTCGTTGACGTAGGATGGATGGAGGAAGTGAGATTAATGCATACCCGATGCAGGATTCGAACCTACGACCATCTGCTCCGTAGGCAGACATTCTATCCAGCTGAGCTAATCGGGCGATGAACCTAGCAACTTTGATTGATATTTAAGTTGAATACTCTTCCGAAATGGTCTAGGCGGTAATTGGTCAATCCGTCAGGATACGTGAGCGGAATTCGGATTGCTCAGGTACAGCCGTTGGTGCGCACCACTATCTCATGTGCTTGCCTTCAGCATCTTGTGTAAACTAGTTGGAGCTTCACATCGAATGCCCGATTTTATTGAAGTAGGATGGATGAAGAGGAAGTGAGATTAATGTATACCCGATGCAGGATTCGAACCTACGACCATCTGCTCCGTAGGCAGACATTCTATCCAGCTGAACTAATCGGGCGATGAAGCTAGCAACTTTGATTGATATTCAAGTTGAATACTCTTCCGAAATGGTTTAGGCGGTAATTGGTCAATCCGTCAGGATACGTGAGCGGAATTCGGATTGCTCAGGTACAGCCGTTGGTTCGCACAGCTATCTCATGTGCTTGCCTTCAGCATCTTGTGTAAACTAGTTGGAGCTTCACATCGAATGGCCGATTCAGGATACGTGAGCGGAATTCGGATTGCTCAGGTACAGCCGTTGGTGCGCACCACTATCTCACGTGCTTGCCTTCAGCGTCTTGTGCAAAGTAGGTGGAGCTTCACATCGAATGCTCGATTCCGTTGACGTAGGATGGATGGAGGAAGTAAGATTAATTTATACCCGATGCAGGATTCGAACCTACGACCATCTGCTCCGTAGGCAGACATTCTATCCAGCTGAACTAATCGGGCGATGAAGCTAGCAACTTTGATTGATATTCAAGTTGAATACTCTCCCGAAATGGTTTAGGCGGTAATTGGTCAATCCGTCAGGATACGTGAGCGGAATTCGGATTGCTCAGATACAGCCGTTGGTGCGCACCACTA